ACAATTATGTTTTTATCAAAATACATCCTTTTAATTTCCGTAAATCGGTGCAATTCATGTCTTTGAGAGGTCTTCTCTTAATATTCCCATTCAGCATATCTCCACAATATTCCCATTCAGCATATCTCCACAATGAATAGAAATTTCTCAAGACCTTTCATTTAATATCAAGAAAAAATGGCTTAGAAGCGCCAAACGTCTTTCAGTTATAATCTTGAATGATTAATATTTCAATATATGATTAGTTGAATATTGAATGATTAATATATCAATATTGAACAAAAGAAAGTCAGAATAATGCTGTAAACAAAAAAAGTATTCTTTCATTAGGGACTTGAAAAGCTAGTCCCTAAATATTTCAATTCGACAAATTAATCCCTACAACAGAAAATTTCTGATTAGGTGTTGATTAAAAAGTCTTAAAAATCACAAGACCTTTCATTTAATTTTATGAAAAAGGGACGGACTCTTCAAATAAGGGACTCGGAGGGGCCCAAAGTCTTTTATTTCGAACAATTTTAGTATCACTATGTTGTAAAAGATTACTGAAGCAAAATCTTTCTGACAATCTCAATCGTTCTTTTATCTCCATTTACCTGGAGAGTTTTCCCGACATTTCAAAAATTTATTTTGCACATCCTCCATGAATATTTAACATAATGTAACCTGTATTTAAAAGTATATCCCTCTCAAAACTATTTTTAAATATTTTTATTAAGACTGATTGCAGTTATGCATTGATTTTCTTTTCCAGGATCATTTAAAGCTGTTTTATAAAAAGCAATATTAGTTATTCAATCATTCAATTTATGTTATTTTTTTGACATACAACTTCTCTTTATATTTTCTCTACTAATGAATTCGATTAAAAAGGAAGAATAATTTCATTATTTCTTGAAACCACATAGCTGAGGGTTTTGAAAAGTAAAAAATAGATGATAATGTTGTGACATTAGCTTTCTAATAAAATCTTCCATACGACTTCAGAAAATGTACAGCTATTATAATGATTAAAATATCTATAAAAAAAATTCATTTGTCACTTGATGCTGTATTTCGTACAGTATGGATCATTTAAAGCTGTTATATAAAAAGCAATATTTGTTATTCAATCATTCATGTTATTTTTTTTTTTGACATACCTCTCTTTATATTTTCTCTACTAATGATTTCGTCACTTGATGCTGTATTTCCTACAGTATGATAGTACATAAACATTTCATTAATCTTCATAATCACCTTGTCATTCGGTTTGTTAAGCGAATTCTTTCGCAATATTTTTTTTATGTACAGATAGATCCTCATAATACATAACTATGTACAAGAATTCCAAGTATTATATTTGTATATTTCCTCCATTTATGTCCTATTTGCTATAAGTATTATGTATCTGGTAATGTCGTTCTTCTTTAACAATGTCCATGTCGCAGTCATTTCAAATATGTACCTTAATAAAAGTATAAATATTTTTGGCAATTGAAAACTCATTTACCTTTCAGATACACAATTGCTACCGACGATGGACTTGTTTTTTATGTGTTTGTTATGATGGATACCATAATTGCATCGTGGTAACTGTAGTATGTCGGTATCTTTTCCACGTTTGCCTTTAAATTTGTCGACACATACACATGGTCAAGGACAGTTGCCCCCTCTGTTGTATTAAAATCAACCAATTGTTTGAAACCTTGATTACTCATGAAAGTCTGAATAGCCCCAACAGTTCTTGCATCTTCATTGAAGTCTCCAAGGCAAACAAAAAACGTTTTCTGTAATCTGTAATATGCTATCACCTTTTCAAGTTGTAATAAGAATTGATTTACATCCAAAGAGTTTGGGCGATAAACATTTAGAACAACTATATCTTCTGACACATATTTCACACAGACGCCCTCAACATTCTTGAAAGGAAGGAAATGGACATGTTTTTCTAAGCCGGTCTCCTTAGTGTAAACGGCAACACCTCCACCTTTCGATGACCGCAACTGTTGAACCTGAGCATTGCTGTCATCATAAGCATCTCCTCTAGCTACTTGATGAAAGATGAAACCATTTAACTCGAATACGCTGACATTCTGTCCAGGTCTCAACCAAGTCTCTGTAAGGCATATGATATCTGCTTTCCTATTCCGAATATCCTTTTGCAGATCTACGAAATGTTTATTGAGACTTTGTATGTTGTGAAGAAAAATTACAATGCCTTGTTCCCAGATATCAAAGTTTGGTAGTGTTAATTTCGGCATTTCTTGCGCAGCTGCTTTGACTTCTGGGTCAGCGTATATCTTCTTTTGTAACGAATCAACATCGTTTGTTTCAATGAATAATCCTTCTTTTGTGGAAACTCTGCTCAATGCAACATAGCCTTGTCCCGGAGAAAATGTCCGATCTAAATTTACTACAACTTTGCTTACTGTCATTCCTTGTACTTTGTGAGATGTACATGCCCACGACAATCTTAAAGGAAATTGATGTCGTACAACATTCTTTGTTTTCTGTTCTAGTATTTCTTCTTGTACTCTTTCGATCAAAACAACGTTTCCATTTTTTGTTCTTTTCCCGGACTTCTTCCCAACACTTGCATTATCAAATATTACTCCTACTGCAACAACAATATTTGAACCATACTTCTGACTATACAGAAACTGAGCTACATGTCCCATAACGCCATTTACCAGGCCGTCATCCACATTGCAGTTTCTTGTAAGCATAACTCTAGCACTGACCCCCAATAACAGGCTGCTAGAAAGATTATCTGTCCGCCCCCTAGCCATTGGCTTTCCTCTCAGTATTAGTTTGCCAGTTGCTCGGTCTTTTGTAAAGTCTTGAGCATCAATCTCAATCATGTCTTCACAGGTTTTTCTGAGCATTGACAAGTTATAGTCATTGACCTCCTCATTTGTTGCATAGACATGGAGAACATCATCTGCTCCTTCTCTTACACAATCGTTTAAAATTGAAGCCGTTTCATCTTCCAATGCTTGTTTTACTACTCTAGTCCGGAGTGAATTCAGTGCTGTTGCAAATGGGATATCCTCACGTTGTCTCATAATTTCAGTTAACTCCACTACCTTGAAGAAGTCTACCCAATAATCAACAGGATAAAGAGCATTGTCTTTATACAGTCTTTCATCTTTGCGCTGTTTAACAGGAGGAAGCTGGTAGAAATCTCCCACTGCAATCACTGACACTCCTCCAAATGGCTCCTTGCATTTTTTAATCTGTACAAGTCTTTCGTGAACATAGTATAATAATCTTTTATACACCATCGAAATTTCGTCAATAACAAGAATTTGCAGATCTCCGAGTTGAACTCTCATTTCACTTAGACTTTGCTCTTTTAGTGGCTCATATGGCAAAGGCATATATTTCGGCAGTGAAAATAAATGGTGGAGAGTGCTTCCTCCAATGTTAAACGCAGCTGTTCCAGTAAATGCGGCAAGTAGTACTGATATACTGTCAGGAGATGCCAACGATTTTCCTAGAATTCGCGATGCCTCGTAATGTATGGCTTTAATTAGATGACTCTTGCCTGTTCCTGCGCCTCCAGTTATGAAAATGTGTAATGCTTCAGGATTTTCTCCAAAGTTCCTTCTCAAACACCATTCCCGCACTAAGTAAAAAACCCTCTTTTGAGTCTCATTTAAATTTTGAAGGATCTGTTGCATCTCTTCTGTTGACTTTGTATTCTGTTGGACCTTGTAAAGAACATCAGAATTTCCGTCTGTTTGCATGTCTGGTAGGTCTTCTGAAGGATTTAAATCTAAACTTTCATTTCTAAGGGCAGCACATTCCTGTCTCAATAATTCCGTCTCTGGACAAAGGTTTGCCCAAGCATCTTCTGGCTCTCCAAGCTTTTCGAAACTTTCTTCTGCCTCTGCAATGATGTATTCATTCTGAGCATAACGCATGCGGTTTGTGTCCACAATTGATTTGACTGATTGCAACCTTTGCTTTCCCCTGATTCGTACATTTCCATTGTCATAAAATGTTTCATAAAGATCAAATCCCGGAGGTTTCAGTTGAATATCTGTCCAGTAAGGTAAGAACAGCTGTAGCAGACATTGGTAATGTTTCTCTGACATTTTCTCTACATCAAATCTTGGATATCTTATAACAGCTGGCTTTGCACGTGTTCTTCTCTGGATGAATCCCTTCGAATTTTGCAGTTCAAATACATTTTCATTTGGAGTCTTTGGGACCTGTGATTTTGCAAGTATTCTGAATTCAGAGCAAAATTCTGCCAAACACATATTTTGAAACAATGGTTTATTTGGTCGACTTTCGTACCTCTCTACTACATTTGTCATCCAAATATCATCTTCATCTTCATCATCGTTATCATTCTCATCGTTCTCCTTCCTCCGATTTCTTTTAAGTTGAGACAATGGTTTTGTCAGTCGAGTAGGATTTTCACCTACGGGTACAAACACTACTTTCCTCGAGCATTCCTTCATTTTAAGGTTACATACCCGATAAACAGCTTCCTGTGCGCTCACTTCCCTATGATTCAAATAGGTTGACCCAATTTTCTTCAAGATTGTGCGTGCATTTTCATTCCCTTCTTCTGCCTCTATTTTTGTTTGTTTCAAAACCATTCCCATTTCCCTCTCAGATTTTGAAATGTACGAGATTATGTAGACAATGCAACTAAATGGATCCAAAACAAACTGAATATCCATATTAGCATCCCAGCATTTTAAAAGGCACGGATTGTACTGATTAGTCCAGATTTCCCTTGGGTTTCTTTGAAGAACAACTGATCTTTTCTTTGTAAGTCTTTTGTGAGCTTCCTCATACTGTGCCTGTGTCAAACCCAGCTGCTTGAAAATCTCTTCCGTAGTCTTCAATTCGTTCGATTCATCTTGCACTTCATTCCAAACTTGCAATAAAATTTCTTTAGAAATCGAGCGTTCCTGTTTCAAACCAGTTGTATCTTCAGTATTGTCCATGTTCTCTTCCTCGAGTTGAGAATTAATGAACGTACATACAGAGGGTGGCCTAGGAAAATTAAACCTACAATCTGTACCCTTCTTTCTGCATGACTTTGAATGTTTTTTGCTGTGTTGCTGTACAGCCAAAACTATTTCCCTTAGCTCTAAATCTTCCTCCTCAGAAGGTACTGCACAGCTTACGTATTTGTTTATGAAACTGCATACAGCATCCTCTCCATCTTCCTGAAGTTTAGGCGCATTTTCTATCCAATATAAGCAATGCATGTGAGGAGAACCCCTTTGCTGAAATTCGACTCTTTGGAAGAAATCTGATACTTTTCCAATTGGTTCTGATGGTGAAAAAATCACTTCTGTCTGGAAAACATGAAATCTATGTTCAAACATTCTAGCAACTGTGACAGGATTGCTTCTTAAAACCTCATTCTTTTCAGACCAGTCCAAAATACAAGGGTCTCTTGTATCATTCTGTTGTCTCAATATTGTTGCAACTGCATCATTCCATCTATGTTCTGCAGCAGAGAATGAGCAAAACCAAGTAGGTATCCCTAACTGACGAAGCATAGCAAACAGATCTTTTTGTGCAGCTGACCAATATGCTGGAGTTCCACGTATAGGTTGCATAAATCGTAAAGCCTCGTCATTTTTCATCAATTTTGAAAGTATTTCAGGGTTCTGTACCATATTTGCTGTCACTAATTGATCACTGCCCATTCTTCTGACTGATTTCCTTATTGATATCTGTGTCTTCTCTATAACCTGATTTAAATCAGACATAAACTGACTGAAGAAAATGTAATTACTGTCTTTTGCAAATCTGTCGTCAGTATTCATAAGACGGTTGTTAAAGTATCTTGACAGTGTTATTCGTGTTTCTCTATCATCATTCCATGAGAAACGTCCACTAGGAAAAAGGTATGGAAACGTTTTAGCCTCATTCCCCTCCTCCTGCAACATTCTTACAGGATTATTTCCTTCTCCTGGGGCAATATCATAGATATCATCAAAGTAATGATCAAGAACTTCCTGAGCAATATCTACGGGTTGTAAACAAGTATCTGCCACAACATGCTGCTGATCACCACTTTCTGAGATATCATCACCTTGTTCAGATATTTCTTGGCTACATTCCAAGTGTCCTTTCCAGTTTGTGTCTATAGCTACATCTTCGTACCACTGATTGTTCAGTTTCAAAAATTTTAATGCCTCAAATATGTGCTTTGGGTCGACAAACTGGTACTCACTGTAACCTTTATAACTCAATCTTCTCTTCAGTTTCACTCTAAGTAGAAAATCTTCTCCGGATTTCAATGGTAAACTTGTAACCTTCTTCAGATCTGAGGGTACACATACAACTGGCCCATGGATATTCTTCTGACCACCATGTGGAAGAGCCATAACTTTCATGAAAGGTATGTGCATTGCAATCAAGTGTTTTTCAAGGCTGTTTAATTCTTTCAATTCCTTTGGAATATCTTCAAGGGCCATTTTGTTAGCTGCTGCCTCTGCTGGAAAATTTCCACTTATGATTTTTCTATGACAGGTATAACAAATCCATAGTTTTGACTTAATGCAGTTTTCTGGACATGATTCCGTGCACTGGTGGCAATACTTTTCCTGAATACACAAGTCGGCAATATTTACTGTCTGCTCATTCTTGGCATATGTTTCTCGGTCACACCTTTGAACTTGATTTTGAAACAAGAGTCGATCACAGCAACAACATGAATAATCAATGCCCTGCTCAGCCTTTTCCTTAAAAACTCTCACAACCTCTTCTTGATCTTCCAGTTTAGCCCTTTGAGCAACTCTCTGACTTTTTACCCTCTCCTTCTTCTGTGCTTTAGATGCTGCACTTGAGTCGTATTGATTTCTACTGGCAGTCTTAATTTTTGACCTGAAAGATTCATCACTTTTGTATTTTTCGGCAGCAGTGCTGAGCTTTGCTTCACGGAAATTCTCATTTTCTCTGTATTTCTTTGTTGTTGCAGTATTAACTAGACATCTATGATCTTCATCTGTTTTGTACTTCAGTTTGCTTTTGGCTTTTACATCTTCCCTGTGTTCATCATTCAACTTATATTTTTGAATGCTTCTCATTTTAACATCCTTTCTGTGTTGTTCATCTGTTGCATACTTATTAATACTTCTCTTCTTGACATTTTCCCTATGATCATCATCAGTTGCATATTTGTCAATACTTCTCCGCTTGACATCTTCCCTATGATCATCATCTATTGAATACTTGTCCATACTTCTCCTTTTGACATCTTCCCTATGATCATCATCTATTGAATACTTGTCAATACTTCTCCTTCTGACATCTTCCCTATGAACATCATTTGTTGCATATCTTTCTGATGATGCTTTCAGCTTCTTCTCTCTGTATTCTGCATCTTGCAAATATTTCTTCCTTAAAGAATCTTTCCGTCTCTCTGCGGCACTTAATTTTTCTTGCATTTCTGTTGTAGTGTGCCTCTTTTCCTGCATACGTGTTCGATTTCGGTATCGCTTTTCATACTCTTCAGGAATTTTATCCTGTTGCTTTGGTGTCAAATCTGAATTCTCTCCATACACAGATAGTACAACATTGTAATGATTCTGCTGGTAATGATTCAAGTAAATTGCTCCAGTTCTACTTTGTGTACTTGGTTCCACTTCAGCAACTAAAAACCTTAACCAACATCCTCCTGAGAATGTGTAAATGTCAGTGTTCAGTAAATGTGCTGTTGCAAATATTTCAACCTCAGTAGCCCATGTACCTTCTTGCAACATCTGAGTTGTAGAAAGGTGATTTTCTACAGTATCAACACCATCTTTTAAAAATGGCTTAAATAACTCTCTGTTCCTCATCATATGCTCACAGACTGCATTTCGCATTGCACTGTGGAAATCCTCAGAGTTCGTTAAACTGAATGAAACAGCTCTGAAGAAGCAGTTTCCATCTCCTAAGATGTTCTTTTCACACCTCGGTTCTCTGATATTAGTTCTTGTACATTGGATGTTATCAGAATTTTCTGTGCAAATATACGGAATTTTCAAAATATGACAAAGGTGTTTTTTCAAGATCATAGTCAGTGGGCAAAAACTAAATTGTACCTGCTCATGACTAATGAAAATCAAGTCATCATTTGTATTGCTAGTTTCAACAGTAGTTTCCACTGATAACTCTTGCCTTTGGGATATTTTACCAATATTTTCTTCCTCCTCAAGCAACTCGCTGTCATTTGCAATAAAATTCATTCTGCATGTTACACCACACACATTACATTCAACACTCTTTGAATAACCCATTGAAAGAGCAAGACTTTGAAGATGTGAATACACTTCATTCACATTTTGAAGTAAAACTCGAGTGCTCTTTCCCGACACATTTAACATTCCATCAGCAGATCTAGAATGGGAGTCAAAAGCAAAGAAACCACTTTCTGTTGATCCTATAAGCATAGTATTTCCACCAAAGCACACAAAACAGCCATCATTGTCTGTAAGAGCAACCTGGAGTGCATCATCAAGTGGTAATGCATTAAATTCTGCATAGTTTACTCCATTATCTGCCAAAATAACACTTGCAAATGACTCCTTTGCATGAAATTGGTATGATCGATTAAAGCATTCAAAAAATTGTGGTAATTCCTCTACAAGCAAATACCTATCACTGATTGATGAACATCTTTGTAAATATGTGTACAATTCATCACCTGTCATTAAAATTCTGTCCATATCCATTGTTGTCCAGCTCTTTGCATTCTTTAGTTTGTGATAGGCCAATCCTGCTAAACAATTTGCAACACACTGTGTCCCAGCATTCTCTTCAAACATAGGATGGGCTTGATGAAATGAACCTTGCACAGAAAAGTAGATTTCATGGATACCTTCATTTGGTGCTCTTTGCCAATACTGATCTTCACGTCTTAAATTCTTCTCTTTACAATCATTCTCTGAATTACTATGTTTCTCATTGTTTTCGTTCTCATTTCTATTTGTTTTCATTTCAGATTCCATATTGTATTCTTTCAAATTTCCTTTTGTAATTCGTTCAGTTTCCTTTTTAGTATTCGTTAAAGTGCCCTCATCTTTTGATATCCTACTGGTCTCCTCCTCCCTGGAGGTATCCAGCTGCGCCTGACCTGCTAGACCAGACATATGCCCTATGTCCGATCCAGGTGCCCTCGGTGGAGCACAAACCCACGGTGGGGAGTCAGGGGACGGTGCCTTGTCCTCGTTACGGACAAACAGACGACTTCCCCGAGGAGGTGACAACCTCGGGGCAGGTGAATGCATTCTCACTCGAGGCGAGGCCTGCACCCTGGCCAGGGGTTTTTCCTCTTTAGGTGGAAACCCCATCGAACCAAACCCCGGAAAATTACCGGGAGGAGCTGAGACAGCTCCATCCACTGTCCCGCGAGGAACAGGAGACTCTGCCACATCCTCATCTGGTGACACATCATGAGTTGCAGCTTTCTTTCTCGCCTGCCTCTTTCTGACTTTATCTCTTTCACGTTGTTCTCTACCAATAAGATATTTCTTTCTCTTTGGCATCTAAAAATAGAAACTATAATTAAACAAGAAATCTGTGAGCCAATGCTCACTAGTAATACCCCCGCTCTGATGTGAATAAACACCATCAAGTCAATATATATACACAAGTTCAATTACTGGCAAATGCACAGAAAAATATGAAGTTGACATCAGATTCACATCAAAATGAAACCCACTATTTAACATGTCTCAACAAAGAGTTTACTAAAATTTCAAGCATCTGCAATGAGTAGTTACTGAGAAAACTAAGACGAAAATTTGTTATGTATGAAACAGACAGACACACAGACGAACAGGAAGTTGACATCAGATTTAAACAAAAATGTATCCCACTGTATTGCATGCCTCAGAGAGGATAGTGTTAAAATTTGAAGCATCTGCAATGAGTAGTTGCTGAGAAAACTGCGACGAAAATAAATTTGTTATGTATGAAACGAACAGACACACAGGCAAACCGTCAGTTGACATCCAATTTGAACAAAAATGTATCCCAACATATAGCATGCCTCAGAGAGGATAGTTTTAAAATTTGAAGCATCTGCATTTCTTAGTTGCTGAGAAAACTGCGACGAAAATTTGTTACAGACAGACACACGGACGGACGGACGGACGACAGACAACGGGTGATCAGAAAAGCTCACTTGAGCTTTCAGCTCAGGTGAGCTAACAAGAGGCCCATGGGCCACATCGCTCACCTGTGCACTAAAGGTAGGAAAAAGTAGAAAATGGCTTTTTATTGTAAAGTTTAAATCCAAAAGTAGTCCCATGACCAATAATTGATTTGCTAATTTTTAAAAAATGATTTTTAAAGAATTTTCCTATATATATCTTTAAAAACTTTGGTCGGCCATTTTGGCCCCGCCCTACCCCTGGGGGTCATGATTTGAACAAATTTGAATCTACACTACTTGAGCATGCTTCCATATAAATATGATGAATTATGGCTTTGTCATTCTTGAGAAGAAGATGTTTAAAGAATTTTCCTATATATTTCTATGTAAAACTTTGGTCGGCATTTTTGGCCCCGCCCTACCCCCGGGGGTCATGTTTTGAACAAACTTGAATCTACACTACCTGAACATGCTTCCAAATAAATATAATGAATTATGGCTTTGTCATTCTTGAACAAGATTTTTAAAGAATTTTCCTAAATATTTCTTTGTAAAAGTTTGGTCAGCCATTTTGGCCTCGCCCTACCCTGGGGGGTCATGATTTGAACAAACTTGAATCTACACTACCTGAACATGCTTCCATATAAATATGATGAATTATGGCTTTGTAATTCTTGAGAAGATTTTTAAAGAATTTTCCGATATATTTCTACGTAAAACTTTGGTCGACCATTTTGGCCCTGCCCTACCCCCAGGGGTCATGATTTGAACAAACTTGAATCTACACTACCTGAGCATGCTTCTATATAAATATGATGAATCATTGCTTTGTCATTCTTGAGAAGAAGATTTTTAAAGAATTTTCCTATATATTTCTATGTAAAACTTTGGTCCGCCATTTTGGCCCCGCCCTACCCTTGGAGGGTCATGATTTGAACAAACTTGAAACTACACTATCTGAGCATGCTTCCAAATATATATGATGAATTATGGCTTTGTCATTCTTGAGAAGATTTTTAAAGAATTTTCCTATATATTTCTATGTAAAACTTTGGTCGGCCATTTTGGGCCCGCCCTACCCCGGAGGGTCATGATTTGAACAAACTTGAAACTACACTACCTGAGCATGCTTCCATATAAATATGATGAATTATGGCTTTGTTATTCTTGAGAAGAAGATGTTTAAAGAATTTTCCTATATATTTCTATGTAAAACTTTGGTCGGCCATTTTGTCCCCGCCCTACCCTGGGGGGTCATGATTTGAACAAAATTGAATCTACACTACCTGGACATGCTTCCATATAAATATGATGAATTATGGCTTTGTCATTCTTGAGAAGATTTTTAAAGAATTTTCTTATATATTTCTATGTAAAACTTTGGTCGGCTATTTTGGCGCCGCCCTACCCCCAGGGGTCATGATTTGAACAAACTTGAAACTACACTACCTGAGCATGCTTCCATATAAATATGATGAATTATGGCTTTGTCATTCTTGGGAAAAAGATTTTTAAAGAATTTTCCTATATATTTTTATGTAAAACTTTGGTCGGCCATTTTTGCCCCGCCCTACCCCCGGGGGTCATGTTTTGAACAAACTTGAATCTACACTACCTGAACATGCTTCCAAATAAATATAATGAATTATGGCTTTGTCATTCTTGAACAAGATTTTTAAAGAATTTTCCTAAATATTTCTTTGTAAAAGTTTGGTCGGCCATTTTGGCCTCGCCCTACCCTAGGGGGGTCATGATTTGAACAAACTTGAATCTACACTACCTGAACATGCTTCCATATAAATATGATGAATTATGGCTTTGTAATTCTTGAGAAGATTTTTAAAGAATTTTCCGATATATTTCTACGTAAAACTTTGGTCGACCATTTTGGCCCTGCCCTACCCCCAGGGGTCATGATTTGAACAAACTTGAATCTACACTACCTGAGGATGTTTTCCCATAAGTTTCATCTTTCCTGGCACAGTGGTTCTTGAGAATAAGATTTTAAAATATGCCACCAAATTTTCATTAATTCCCAATTATCTCCCCTTGAATGAGGGCGTGGCCCTTCATTTGAAAAAACTTGAATTCCCTTCACCCAAGGATACTTTGTGGCAAGTTTGGTTGAAATTGGCCCAGCGCTTCTTGAGAAGAAGTCGAAAATGTGAAAAGTTTACAGACAGACAGACAGACAGACAAACGGACAGACGGACGCCGGACAAAATGTGATCAGAAAAGCTCACTTGAGCCTTCGGCTCAGGTGAGCTAAAAAGCTTCAAAATTCTCTAAAAAATATTTATGACATCAATACCTCCATTTGGATATTTGACATCTACATTATAAGTGATGCTGTAATGAAATCTAAATTAACTGTGGTTGTAATGAGCCACCTTAAAGAAATTTCCTTTATATTTCAATGTAAAACTGTGATCAACTATACTGGCCCCGCCCTACCCCTGGGTGTCATCTTTTGAAGAACAAACTTGAATCTGCACTACGTGAGGATGTTTCCATATAAATATGATCAATTATGCTTCTGCTATTCAATTATGCTTCTGCTATTCTTGGGAAGATTTTTAAAAAAAATTTCCTATATATTTCTATGTAAAACTTTGATCAACCACTGTGGCCCAATCTACCCCTGGGGGTCATGATTTGAACTAACTCGAATCTACACTATCTGAGGCTTCTTCAATATAAATATGATCAATTATAGCTTTTCTATACTTGAGGAGAAGATTTTTAAAGAATTCTCTATGTAAAGCTTTGGTCAGCCATTGTGGCCCTGCCGTACCCCCAGGGGTCATGATTTGAACAAACTTGAGTCTACATATCTACCTGAGGATGTTTTCCCATAAGTTTCATCTTTCCTGGCACAGTTGTTCTTGAGAAGATTTTTAAATCATGTCAAATTTTCACTGCTTCCCAATTATCTCCCCCTTGAATGAGGGCGTGACCCTTTATTTGAACAAACCTGAAACCCCTACACCCAAGGATGCTTTGTGGCAAGTTTGGTTAAATTGGTCCAACGGTTCTTGAAGAGATGTCGAAAATGTTAAAAGCTTACAGACAGATTAGACAGACAAAATGTGATCAGAAAAGCTCACTTGAGCCTTCCACTCAGATGAGCTAAAAAGGGGGGACTTGGCTACATTATCGCAGCTATCTAAAAATGTGCTTTAAGGGTACACAAATCTTGTACGATGACAAACAGAGGCCATCACATTTAATTAAAGTAATATCATATTATACAATGTCTTTGGCAATTTCTGTTGACAAATTATAAATAAACTGGTAATGCTACATGTATATGTAAATGTACAATTTTTACACTTACAATTTACACCTTAGAAATGGTTAATTCTTTTTGTGTGATATGAAGCGTACATACATAGAACAAATAACTTCAAATTGATAAGCTGAAAGTTCTATCAGAACTGCAATATCAAGGTAATTTTAGATTAATATCGTCTTCTATATATGCTTTTAGTTTATCTACAGACTGTATTCATAATTCATAAATTCAATGCTGTACAATGGACTTGTGTACCTGCTGGTCACATCATAGGTAATCAGGATGAAATTCTCCAGAATTTTTCAGAAAATCTTGATCTTGTTAATTAAAATCTCAAGAAAATTATTTTAATAATACAACAAAAAAACAAAAAAACAAAAAAACTAAATGACGACTTCACGTCATTACGCACAGGCATTCGCATGCGCACGCATGCAATGCTAAAATTTGAATGAACTTCGTTCACTTCCAGGTAAATGTTAAAGTCTCAAAAACATACAATTTGTCTTATTTAATGAAGCTTACAGGTAATATGGCACAAAAAGAGAGTTGGGGAGCGTTTGGGGAACATCTGTAACGGTCCCCGTTACAATTAGCACTAGTTCTACATTAAAATGTCATTAATTTGTACTTTCAAAAATAAGACCAAGGAAAAATATATAGTGTATTAAACATATGCGATGAAATCAAAATTTTTAAAGGAATTTTCTTTTCACAAAATAATGTATGATTATAAAAAGTAAATAGATACAATGTATACCGTACACTTGAAGAATAATATTAGAGAAGCAAAAGAGAGACATTTCGAACACTTGATATGGGTGAATGCAAAACGCATAAACTTTCTCAGTTTCAATTGTATGACAAAATTTAAATACAAGGGAAAGGTATAGTGAAGTCAGCAAGAAAGCAAAATTCCATCAAAACAATGCTTAAAAACGTTTTTGAATTTTTGAAAAAAAAATCATATTAATTGTTACTTTTAAAACCCGCCCTAAGCACGTGTCAATCTTTAGCTTATTCTATATCCAGCAAAGGTGGAGAAAGTACCCAATGGTTGGGCAGTTGTGACGGTTTCTTGTATATTGACAGTTTGTCCTTTCTGTAACTGGATAACAGCCGTGTTACTACAGGTAAATCTCTTGTTACCTGGAGGTGGATTATTACACACCTGTACGACCTTAACATTCCCGTTGACCACTAAAGAGGGCGCTGCCTGTCCGTTAAGATTGACAGAGGTAGAGAAGGTAAAGAGATAAAGACCAGCTTCTGGAGCGGTGAATTTTCCAGAGATTTTGTTGTATGCATTTCCAATGTTAGTCAGAATGGTGTCGTATTTCCAAGGTATACCAACAGGGTATGTCTTATCCGAGCTCAGGTAGGCGTGGAATGCCACTGGTGCTGTATGAAAATTAAAAGCACAGAACATGTAGATATGGCAATGGATTACATTCTGTAAACGTGGGTATATTGAAGGATTTACCAAAAGTATTAGAAGACTTTGACGGTCTATTACATCTTTATTATGCTTTTAACAAAAGTTTGATTCATGTTGGGACTTGCAGTGTTTGACGATTATAAAATATTCGTCAATTTCATCAATGATTCAACATAGTCAAATTTGATCTTTTACAATACTTTAAGTTAACACCTGCATATAAAGAAGAAGAATGTGTTTAGAAGAGATTACCTATCATCAGGTTATTTATTCGAGTATCCAGTGCATTTATCTGTCCTTTAAGTTTCTCTATTTCCTTGAATGATTCAAAGCATTTTCGCAAATCATTCCAAAACCAAGCTGAAGATCCAGGTATAATAACCACCACGACAAGTATAGGAATCAAACTCTTCATCTTTACTTAAAGTATAATCGCACAAATCTACAATTTCAGAATGAGTAAAATATTGAGTAATGATTTGTATAGTAGTATATGCTATAACATCAGGGGTTACAACTGTGACCTAAAAAATCAAATAGGATATTAAGAAAACGCTCTTATTTTAACAGGAAAACAGATTGGTTCATAAGCAAGAACCACTCCCTATTATAGGTATTATTGAATTATGGGTATCAATTATATGTGGTCAACGTCAGTTTTTTTTTTTTAGCTTGAAGTTCATCAAAACTATAAATAACGGTAAAATTATGACAAAAATTCAGAAGCTATCTAGTATTAGCACTGGTATGTGCTAAATGTAAAAAAAAAACTTATTATAGATAAAAAAAAAAACCCTTACTTTTGAGTTGGATACCTGTTGGATATCTGTTGATGTATGTTCCTGAAATGCCAGATTGTCCTTTATAAAAGCATTGTCTGTGTTGTTGATGACATGGATGTGCTAGGATCTTCCGGGATTAATATCATGAATGACCTAAATATTATTCATTTAAATTCTGAATTTAGATTTCTGTGGAAAGAAATTGTATAAAGTAAATATGAATTCCAGGATATCACATCTAATGTGAATACCCTTCAAATTTTAAACAACACGCAAAACTTTTAGGTTCATTATCCCTTACATTTCATATATAATTTTGCTCAGACGCCATAACGGATTTTCAAAATAAAGAATATATTCTGTAAATACTATTATCTGTCTCTAGAATAAAATTTTGATTTAAAAATCTAAAAATTATGTTCTGAATAAGGACGCTATTTGCAGGCTTTTGTCACGGAACCATGAAGCATATGGAGGTAAGGAACAATATCAATATCAATGATCAAAAGTCCATAAAACAATACGAAATAGGAGCAGAGAAAACAGGGACCTCCAAAACATCAGAAGTGGGATCAGGTGCAATGAAGGTGTCAAACAGATGAGGTTAAGGATATAACATAAGTCCACCTTACTTTCATGATTTCAAGGGTCAAAATTGTAATTAAGATAATATTTTGATCATTGAATGCAGGTCTGCTCTCACTCAATAGTTAGATATTATGTATAGAACCATAATATCATTGAAATATAAGTATAAATGGCTGCTCTTTCTTTACATTTGCTCCTTTATATTCTTACAAAAGAAAATATGAAATAACTTCAGTGCCAACCTAGTGTGCTCATCGACGAAATGTACTGCAAAATCCACGCTAAAATAGCGATTTGTTAAAATCATAAGTATTTTTTGTTGAATTCAAACATAATAAATTTAAAGATGAGGAATTTTTCTTTAGATTGTGATTTTTTAAAGAAAAATTAATATCATAATAGGTCATAAACATATGACAACATTAATATTAAATGAACACCATACCATAAGTATTTTTTGTTGGCTCCAAACATAATAAATTTAAAGATGAGGAATTCTTTTTAGTTTGTGATTTTTTTTTAAAAATTGATATCATAATAGGTCACAAACATATAACAACATCAATATAAAATTCACACCATACCATATATTCGTATTTAATGAAAAAAATCAGCTAAATAATGAGAAGTATTACTTCGATTCTAATCTGAGCAATTTCCCTAAGAACATCATTTTTAAAATGAAGCATAGATTTGAGTCTACTTATACATGTTATGTGGGAGATTTTTCTCAGAGAATTTCTCATTTTGTAGTCGTATGTATTAATACACCGTGAAGCTAATAAATGCTATAAGTTATCAAAAACCTAGTTTTTCCACTGCTTTCATTATAAATTCCAAGTACAATTAATTTCTAAGTAATATCAAATTTTATAAAAAGGCTCTCTTCCCACATGGGATTAATGATTTTACAATCAAACAGATTTTTCATTTCTTCAGTTTCACAATTTTCCAATAAGGAGTTGATCAAAGTACGATGTGATATTTGATAATTAAATTCTGATATTCTCTTTTCTGTGTACGATTTTTTCTATTAGTTCTGACGTTTTCTTGGCACGTAATATATCAAAATCATGAAAAAGCCTGGTAAACGTCAGATATCTTAGACTATAGAACTCTGGTGCACCTGTTTTGGAGTTTATTTGCAATTTTTTTTAAATTTATAAGTAAAGAATAGTCTGTGAATGTTGTAACTGGTATTTAAATCCAAAAGATTTTTTTATTTGATTTTGTAGATTTTCATTGTGAAGTATCCATGTGGTATCCATGCATTTTGAAATTTGATTTTATTTTGAAAATGACTACATGTTTATATATTTATTGCCACCTGTTTTTCCATTCGAAATCATTACTTAATTATTTACGGTAATACCCGGTATGATGTCTAAGTGAACTTAACTTAATTAGTATAATTACATTCACGATTAGTATAATTACATTCATGAACTTAGTCATGGATGAAACATTCCTGGGGGTCATTGTTCTTTCGTTTATTCCGTATTTACTTTCACTGAATCTCCTTTCTAAATAAGAAAATGCACAAATACGCACAAAATATGAACTGCATCATGTCAATATGCATCCGCTCAAGGTCATTGTCTTAACGTTTGATGTATTACTCGTAAATAAAATTGAATCTCTCTATATCAGTCTATGACATTCAGTATGATGTCATGTGTTGTAATATGAGTCATGTACAGATTGTACTTAGCGGGGGGAAGAGCAAATGCAAATCTTAAGCTTATACATGTACATATGGAACGCCAGATTTATATATTTACGCATTTTAATGTCATATCCCTTTATTAAATTTATGAACACCTTTATAGAAATATCATAATAAAGTATATATATTTGTATAAAAATTGTATTATTTATAATATCACAATGACCTTGTCAGCAAATACAATTTATCATTAAGTCAAATGCTGACTGACGTTTTTTTTTCATTCTAAATCGTTAGTCCATTATTTATACACTGAATTTACGACGGATTTTCCGTTATTTCCCAATCATGACAAGGAGCACACGGCTACAGTAAGATACATAATTCTCTTTATTGGTTTTTGATTTCCATGAACAATCTTGACGTGGTTACTAAAAATAGAAAAAAAGAAATTTCTGAGAAATACTTTCAAAATGCTACGCTAAATACACTTTGAGTCTGATTATAATATAATATTGCATGCATTGCATGCAAGTAGACTACACTGAGATACATAATTATCAGTTTTTTTAAATTTTGATGATTGATGTTGCCATAGTAATTTGAATTGAAAATTCTGTAAAAATTTATTAAAAGCTAGTACTACAATTGTAGCCTTATTTATTGCTTTTGTAAAGTTTTAAGTCCCAACTGCTACTTTTCTCTTCCTTTATTATAAGTTCAAACAAGTAGAGCTAAAGTCTCGACAGAGACTTCTGGTTTATTTAATTGAGTCTATCTTCAAACGAACTTAAGATAGGTACAATTGGCTTAAACATATATCTATATAAATTAAAGATATGTGTAAATAACATTTGAATGTATTGATCCCACGTTCAAATAATTTACAATTCTTATTTCTTTTTACCGTTTTACTGTAAGTTTGATTCAATTAAAATAGGTTTAATTAAATTAAAATAGGTTCACTTCGATTTGTGTTTTAGGTTTTATACTTCCAAAATGATTATAATAAAAAAAAATCAATTCAATTCAATAAGACAGTTTCAAAGACTTAAGAACGTAATTGATTTGTCAGTGTTTTGTGTAAGTTAAATCTAATTAATACAAGATCCTGGATCTACCCTCTCCTATTTTTTATAAAGAGCGAATTGTTTAGAAAAAAATCTGTGAAAAGAATCAAAACTAATGAAAACTACATCTTGGATTTATTCCTGTTCGTTTTTCTATGTCGTTCGATGTGTTTAAGAACGTCGGAAAGATTCAAAGATCTTATTTTTAATCAGATTGTTTAAGTTTTGTAACGAAACGCATACCACCATTTGATAAATATACTCTTTTTTAGCCAAAAGCGGTCTATGAATTTCAAATATCATAATTTAAATTACAACATAATACAATTGACATTAAGATTTCCTTTTTTACTTTCAGTGATTACAATTATATATTACTTAGGACACACGACACATGTTAGTTCACCTCCAGCTGTATAAGGGGGACAGTGAAGAGACCCACATTGGGCCTCTACAGTATATATATATTTTCCGCCCACATTCCTCTGACCCCCGGAAATGGTTTCGGGGTGCTGATCCATACAGATGAATTCAGTGGCTGAAGAATGTGCTTCTGCCCCTGCAGCTAAATACCCTGAATATTGGTGCCGCCTCCCAGAAAGCAGCTATCTCGGGCTGGAATCATAAGCACGCTGCTATCGCCCAGACTTCTACAAACAGCACATGGTATGTCTTCTCCAACTTGTGGCCCAAAGGCACTGGTGCCAAACTCTGATCCATACATTTCATTGGTATTACCCTGGATGGAAACTGGCTTTGGATCTGGAGGGAGGCAAACAAAATTAGCTGCACCACCGGTCTATCATACCGAGAACCTCCAGCGTATCCTAAATATTAAAGCATGGATAAAATTGGATATACATGTATATTTAATTAATATATTAAGTAATTAATAAAATGTTAACTTCCTAAAAATATTGAGATGGGCGGAAAGCTAGAATGTGATTTGTTTGTTGTTTAACTCCCTCTCGAGAATTTTTCACTCATATGGAAACGTCACAACTTGCCGATTCTTACCCTTTTTGTCATTTGTTTTCATTTTTGATCACAAAAAGTATTATTCTTACCTGAGTATACCTGTTCGGAACTGTTCTGAGGACATGTTGTTTTTCTCCATCGCACGAATACCCCTCCGCCTGCTGTAAAAAAAATGTACCCCAAAGTAAAATCTCTACAAATATTCATAAGATTGCAATCTTAAACGATTACATGTCTTTGCTAAAAAAAAATTTATTTTTTTCATTATAAAACAACCTTTTTTTCTATATGGTCAAACCAATGAAACGACTTTTTATGGATCTTTACGTATACATGTATATTTGAAAGTTAAAGTTATTTACTGTATATCTACCATTTTCAGATTTCTCAATTGCAACTTTACGGTTTGAAGTTCTTTAGATAATATTTCATAACCTCGATCTCGCTCATTGTTTCTTGCCTGCAAGTGAGAAATGACAGTCTCATGATTTTGAAATGTTTTCATTAGATCTTCCACCCGTTTTTCAAGGGTTGACTTTAGCACTTCAGGGTCATCTAATAGAAGTCTTTTACCCGATATTTCAGTAGAGTCAATTTCACAGACAAACATTATATATAGAAAGATACAATAAAGAATATAACAGACCCTCATAGTTGTCTGTAAAAAGGCCAAATACATTAGACTGTCTCCTTATCAGTATTTAGTGTTTGAAAAATATAGTGTGACTACATGTATTCGCATAACAGAATGCAAATTTCCACAGTGCATAGTATGGACTAAATTGAGATAACAAACAGCATACTAAGTATTCAAACTCAAAAAATGCAAATCTGAAGCAGAGCAAACACGGTCCTCTAAAACATCAGAGTTGGGATCTGGTGCCATGGACGAGTGAGCGTGCTCTGCCGACCGGTCACACCCGCCATGTGCCCCTTGTCATGATTCATAGTAACTGCTTCATGTTTGTCATCAATTAAAGCACATCGATACAATGCATATTTTTTGACAGCCATCAGTAAGGTTATACCAGTTTTAATTCATCATACCCAAACTGTTTTTTTTTCTTTCTTCTCCTTCTTCCGTCTTCCCTGCTATAGAAAAATATGTGTCACAACAATGTAGTTCTGTGCTTTCTGTCTGTTCAACTACAGGTGCAGATTTAGAAGCCGAATTCTGTTCTCATGGTCATGTGTACAGTCATGAACAACAGATAACAATGACAAGCAAAACATTGTGACAAAAATGTGTAATGAATAACTGAAAAATCGTAAGCTATCGTATCCAACCGTAAACACGTGATTAGAAGTCAAAACCCTTACTGCTGCCGTAATTACAACGTAAGAAAAAAACTGTTCGCCGCCATTATTCGTGAGTCTCTGTATTGTTTCCTTGTCGCTTTCCTACTACAACCGAGACAAAATGTGCGGGGTTTACGGTTAGTTACGGATTATCTTGTATATTCGTATATTTTCCCTACTGCAGTCGTCGAAATCCTTAAGTAAGCGTAGATATACGTGTCACGGATGACCCCGATACATCACGAAAGTCTATACGAACTAAATTGAGATAACAAACAGCATACTAAGTATTCAAACTCAAAAAATGCAAATCTGAAGCAGAGCAAATACGGTCCTCTAAAACATCAGAATTGGGATCAGGTGCCATGGAGGAGTGAGCGTGCTCTGCCGACCGGTCACACCCGCCATGTGCCCCTTGTCATGATCTGAAAATATCCAGAACATCTGTCGACAATTCAGAGTGTAAATAATGGCCTAACTATTTGTGTGAAAAATGTCAGTCAGTTAATTTTGCATTTGACTGCATGATAGATTTATTTATTAACAAAGTCGATTGTATCGAGTAAAGAACTTACTAAATAATGACTTAAAAAGAGACTGTTCATTTTCTTGTTTCATCAACTTGTTTGCCAATAATGTACCTCGTTTTAGAAATTGTTCATTCTTATAGCATGATCTTGTGTGAATTAACTGAGAAATATAAACCGTACGCATGTGATACAGTAATTATTGTAAGTTAGGAAAGTTGACGATTGAAAACTTAAGGTCACCAAGTTTATCATTAAGCTTTGTTATTTGGTTACGATTAAGTTCTTTTTCTAGATTAATATCCAGAAGTGAAAAAAGAATTAGATAGATTACATAATCATGCAGGTAACATCATCATTATCATTGTCTTCGTTTGTTAGACTCATTATATAAATTGTATTTTAGAAGAACTAGAATTTCATTTTACAAGTGGTAATCCAATTTATACTTATAGTCCAATCTCTAAGGAAGTAATTCTTCAAAATCATCGTATGATTCTATATTGTTTAACGCAGAGTCGGTAATTTTTCAACCATGTTTCAGCGGGATATGTGTAAATCATATGTGGATACTTAAAAATTCCTAGGAACTTTTGGAAAATTTGAAATTACAAGATATCACCAAAATCGACAGCTTAAAAACTAACGACTTTTCAACTTTATACATAACCATTTTCCACGATAAATTAAAGTCCAGGATTTTATATATCATTGACAGCTGCTTTTTCAATAAAAATGGAACTCGTTGATTTACTTACAGACCCTAAACCGTGCTACTACACCTTTGAAACGAACCGTACCGTTCCGTGCAGAAAGCGTACCGTACCGTGCACAAAGCGTACCGTACCGTCCACAAAGCGAACCGTTCCGTGAACAAAGCGTACCGTTCCGTGCACAAAGCGAATCGTTCCGTGCACAAAGCGTACGTACCGTCCTCAAAGCGAACCGTTCCGTGAACAAAGCGTACCGTTCCGTGCACAAAGCGAACCGTTCCGTGCACAAAGCGTACCGTACCGTCCTCAAAGCGAACCGTTCTGTGAACAAAGCGTACCGTACCGTCCACAAAGCGTACCGTTCCGTGCAAGAAATGAACCGTACCGTTCTTTGGGTAATTATGCAAACCACGCCCCCAATGATTTTTGAATCGTATAATGACCAAATAAGTCATTTTGGTTTATTTCTCGCTACGGCGCCTGTGAAAGGAGGACGGAGGTTGTGTCTGCCTGTTCGAAACACCATTATCGAGTATCATGCGTCTGGATCTTCAACTGTAAAAATAAGGAAACTACTCGAAGCAAACTACAACTGCAAAATAACTAGACAGAGTGTGAGACTATTCCTTATTTGCTATAAATTAAATGAACTGGTTGTGTTTGTGGTCAAAGGTACAGTACAGGCCTACGAGTTTTTCCCGCAAAACACGTATTGGGCACAGTGGACCTCGAACGATGTCGGCGTCTTTGAAGTATTTCATTTTCATACTACAAGTTTTAGAAAATTAAATCAATTTCCTTTTGAAATATTGTATTTAAATATTCGTAATTTAACAATACAGATATTTAAACTAATTATAATATTATAAGATGCCTCAAAATTCAATATAATTGTGCTCGTGCCCGGGGAAAAAGGCCGGCCTTAAATGTTCACATGTACATTAATTCATGTTTCATAATCCTATATTTGTATTTGACATAAAAAAAAAGTTCAATAGACTATAATACCACTAAGATAGAACACGCTTTCATGAATTAATTCCCTGGTTGTCTCTACTTTTGATTTTAATTCTGCTCATTTTATTTATTAATTTAAATCTGATCGGATACAAGATCATTTTGACGTAAGTATGCATTCATATGTAGTACATATCAGATGCGTGATTTTACTAATGAATTATTTTGTAAGAATTTTAAAACATATATAAACTGTCAAAGAAGATGGGCGCATTTGGCGGGTGATCTGCAGGAATCATTTGTACGAAACACTTATGGTTTAAATGTCCATGATTTGGTTGGCTGAACATACCTGGTCAGATTTTACAAACACATCCATGGTTTTTTTTCATTTAGTTTGAAAGACATTGTGAAATTGTAACATTTATGTCCATTTTTTTCTAGAGGGTACATAGTAATATTTCACAAAAAATAAAACCTAAAATATTTAATGTATAGATGATACGTGTACATGTACATCGTAAAATAGAAGATTAGAATTGATTTCGCTTGAGAACCAAACTGAACCAAAATTTATCTAATTCAAAATTTCAATACATCAGTACATAAAAACGAAACTGACAAAATAAATGGCTGCTTGCCTGGATAAAAAAAATTTACGCCCCATGCCAGGCTCGAACCAAAAACTTTTCGCTCCGAGTGCACTGAACACGTATTCTAACTTTCTGAGCTATCACGTCTATACATGTACACATGTCTTTAAAAGGACAAAGACGCACCACATTGACACATTTGGATTTTTTGGGGAAAAGTTCATTTTTCGTGGTCTCTGGGTCTTCTCTCCATTTTTTAAAAAAGTGTATTCGTTTCTTTGAATTAAAATACACACAAATAACGCTTCAAAATCATGGAGAGAAGACCCAGACATAGAAAATTTTTAGAAAAATGTGTTTCAAAATGTACAATTTTGTACCAAATGTCTGATATGGCCAATTTTCAAGTTATTTTTTTTTAGCAAATCAAAGCTCAATTTCGGGAAAATATTTTTCGTTCCTGTTGCACAGGAACCCGATAAATTAAAAAAATGTTAAAATTTCATGTGACATGTCAATAAAATTTTCACTTTTCAATTACGCCCAGGTTCCTGCCGAATGCCAATCAAAAGCGCCCTCGTTCTTTAAAAAAGATCCGTATTAGACTCTCACATTAATTCTGTTAAGATTCTTACTATAGGCGAATCATTGGTGCAGTTATACTAGCACTGAAAATCTGCAATCATATAAAATATGGATTAAAATATTACATGCGGTAAACGTGAAGATTTCTACTGAACTGACAGAGATAATAATCTTACTAATAAAACTGTGATCAACTTTCACGCTGCATACAAAAATCGCCAGCCAAATTTCTTGCAATTAAATGTGCAAACTGCAGTATAAATATACCTTCATTCTGAAATACATCTTATGAAAAATGAAAAAAAAAAACAGTTTGCGTAAAATGAAGATATTTTAAGGTTTGTTACACTGTACCCCCATCCTTTTTCTAGAAAGCAATACGAATTAGCTGGTTAAAAGTTCTTTAAAAGTCTGCAAAATGGTACGTTGTTGTAAATAAAATTAATCATAATCTACAGGAAACAT